ATGGAATTACTGAAATCAATCTACTTTTTCATGATATTCTAATTTTATGACCAGCACCTGTATATAGTAATAGTTAAGTAAAAATTAAATCATGTCTTTTTATAATCTCGTAATTACAGTTTTACCAGTTTATTTAGAAATTAAAGAACTCCCTCTGGGATTAAGTAATCATGGAAGCTCAACTTAAGTAAAGGATTACTTACCCTAATCACCTCTGACGCAGGCCAGTGAATCGGTTTTCAACCACCCCTCCACAAAAGCCAATCAGCATCCATAGTTAATCTTAAAAAGTATCGAATGTCAGTCTGACACCCAAAGCTCAGGCAGTGGTTGCTCTGTGTCTGACTTAGATTCAGATGACCCCGATTCAACCCACCTCCATCCCTTTCTCCACCATCGTAGCTAAAGCTTCATCAGAGCGTCATTCCTCCCGGACTCTTACTGCGTTCCCCGTCACACCTCAATCGGTCCGGCAGAAGACCGCCATGTTGAGCCTGGTTCTGCCAGAGGTTTCTTCCCAAAGGGGAGTTTTTCCTCTCTACTGTCGCTTCATGCTTGCTCATCATGGACAGGTTCATGCAACCTGTGTTATCCAAGCTGGACTTCCATCTTCAGGTCCCTGAGCCTTGGTGGAGACATCCCTACTCTTTACTCCTGTTTCTGCAGATCAAAGCAGAATTCAGTGTTTCCTGCAGAGGGTTTAGCACCAAAGACTAAAGCAATTTTATCAATAAATTCTTCTAATTGTCTTTTCTTTCTGTGTGAGTTTTTTTTCAGATTGAACTCCCTGCAGATTACTGGATGTCTAGCAGCGTCCCTTTATCAAAATATGATGTGAATTTGTTGAAATAAATGATCATGGGACGAGTTCAACGTCCCGATCAGCGTTCAACGCACGCTGATCAACCTCAGCGTGCAAACAAAGGAGCTCTGACACATATATCGGTTATCTATAATAAAGACCACTTGGTTATTTATTTATAGTTTCAGAGATCTCAGCTACAGAGGTGTGTTGTTTAAGCATTAAAAAGTTTCAAAGCATCTGGTATAAAACACAGCAAAGAAATTCTGTCTCTGTGCTTTTGTTGACAGACTAAACATGTAAAAAATGGGGTTCACAAAATAAATCTACTATAGATCAGTTTAGGTTGGAGATGAGTCACTGCAGTGGATATAGGGATCCTTATTTCTCCTTATTTGGAGACTTTGCAGCCTGTTCAGTTCGTCAGCAGACGCTCCAGGTTAGGATGTTTTCACACGATCTGGTTGGGCTCCAGTTTAACGACGACCTGCAGTCTGACATGTTTTTCCTCCTGTGACTAACCGAGGCCGTCTGCCCAAACTCTGGCTTTGATTGACGGAGATGGGCAGGTTGGATCATTTCATCAGGCTGACCAACCGACCGTGTTTTTTTTGGTCTATTATCACTGTAGGGTAGCAACTAATGATTATTTTGCAAATCGAATAATCTGTTGATTATAATTTTTTTTTATTAATCAATTGAAAATTTAATATTCAAAGGTAATTAAAGAAGACTTTAATTAAATTAAACCAGCTGAAATTTAAACTTTTCCACTCGAGATGTTCTGGATAAAGAATATTAACAGAATTTTAGTTTTTTTTAATCTTATATTCAAAATGTTTATATATTTTTTTTGCAATTTTGGTATGATCGCTCTGTCAGATAAAGATATGTTTTAGACCATCTACACTCCGGTTAACGATTAATTAATTACTGAATTAGTTGATGA